GGGAGGGGGCCCGGCTCAGGGCAGCAAGGCTCTGCCTGGAGGCGCTTCCCTCCCGCCTCCGCCGGCTCCGCGAGGCTCCCGAGCGCCTTGCTTCTTTGCGGCGTTCAGGCAGGTTGTGCAGCGCAATTGAAATAGCTCCACTTTAAATATGATCAGCGGGGTCCCTGGCCTCTCTCCTGGGATGGAGGTTCCAATATCAGCTTTCCAGGCTGCTTTTGCTTGTTTTGATTGCCTGCCTCTGTAGAGCGCGAGTTAGCTGCCAGTCTGTAGGCTGGAGCTATTCTGAGGCTGTCTGCAGGCTAGTCACAGCCAGGCAGGAGACGGCATCTCCCAGCCTGATCTGCGGTAATTAGAGCGGATGTGGCAAGGGAAACAAGAACAGGGCAAACCTCTCCCTCCTTTTGCTCGAAACCAGGTCAAATATGTTGCACCAACTCACAGCCTGCTAGATGCACTTTGTATTCCCTGCTCCTGTATCGCTTCTTCCCCTTTGCCGACATCAACGCCTTCTGGATTTCAGCCCTATGCCAGTCTGCTTTCCAGTAGGTCCGAAATCTCACCATGCATCGCTATCCACGCACACTGCATAATCCAGCCCGGAGCGCTCCCCGGAAGGGAGAAAACCTGTCTGCTGCAGGGCGGCACGCACGGATGTACCCACACCTGGGGGCACAGTCCCCCGTCGGTAGCTTCCCTCTGTGAGTAAATTTGCTTTCCTTTGCTTCCTTCAGAAGCCTCCTCAGTCTCTCACCATCTGCTGCATGTCCCTCCGGGCCCACACGTCGGCGGTGATGATGACGAGGCTCTTCCATCCGGGAGGAGGTGGGTGACTGCCTCCCCTCAGCCCTGTTGCAAGTCTCAGCTTTATTTAGAAAGCCCAGCTCTTTGCTGACATCGCTGGGGTGCTGCAGAGACAGCAAGTATCCAGAAATAAAGCAGTATTGATGCCTGGAAACACCTCAGCTAAAACTAAGTACCATTTTTTCCCCTCTGTCACCAAGGCAAAGCTATGAATCATCCAAACCTCTGCTGCGGGGCTTCAATTCACCACAGTCTGCTGTTAGTCATGGTCCTTTGTAGGTGCTCACAAGCCCATGTTACCAACAACACGTTCCTGTTGGCTTCCTCCCTCCTCGTCAGGAGCCCTTGCAAGGCGGCTGTGCAGCACGTGGGCGCCTGGGAGCCTCAGGCCCTTCATTCACCCATGTGCTTTCTCCTGTGAGGTGGGAAATGATGCTCCTGGGGAGAGAGCTCTGCTTTCCCCTCCCTGCACAGCCTTTAAGGTAGACGTTAGCACTGGAGCCCCGCACGGCTGCTCAGGGCAAAAGGGAGCTGCGTCTTCGGCCAGAGCTTCGCCCTCGGCGGGAGGAATCCGCTGCAGGGCAGCGGCTGCAGGGTTGCAACGCCCGCAGCAGAAGTACCACTCTGGCTTCTCACTTTCCATGCCACCTCTGGGAGAAAAAATCAAGCAGGTAACAGGAGCCCCCGTCCTGTAGCCTGGGGAGAGCAGCATTTGACGCTGCCGCAGGGGAGCAGGCAGGAGAGGGCTTGCTGCAGCGCTGCTGCCCGAAGGGAGCAGAAAGCTGAGCTCCTGCTGGCCCTGCCCGGGCCAGTCACCTTCAAATTCGGGTTCGTGCTTCCTTCCGTGGGCAGAGGTGTTTGTGCGCGGCCTGGCACCACCCGGGCCCGGCGCTGCCCCTGCAATGCGTGCTGTAACGGTGTTGCTTGTGCTCAGGAGTCCCCGGCTTTGCGGGGCTGGCACACGCAGCTCCCTCCAAGACAACCAGCCTGCGCCCCAGGGCTCCCCGTCCCTGAGTTCCTGCCCTCCAACTAGGGGCTTGGGCCCAGAGCACCCGGCCGTCCCGACCCCCGCTCCTCTGTTCCAGCTAGGAACTAGGTGATGCTGCACTTCTCTTAACTGTTGAAAAGCAATGATGGTTTTTTAAATACTTCAGCAAATGCAGCGCTGGAGAGCGTGTCCTCTGGGCTTCACCTGATATTCGTGGCTCTTCCCCCTTGTACCACTCTCAGAGCAGCAAATATTTCCACTTGGCATCGAATGCTGCTCCGCTGTGCCCTTTCTCTGCAAGCCGGAGGTGCAGGGCACCGTGTGAGCCTGGAGGGATTAAACTGGCATCCTCCCTCTTAGGGGAAAAAAACCCAACAGCATCTGAAAAACGTGGCCAGGGTTTCCCGAGCGCAGATAAAGCCCAGGCAGACACAGGCAGGGAGAGGGGCTGGGGCCGCTGCGAGCGGGAC